TGCAGGACTGGCCTAGGGGAAAATTTTAATGGGGTCTTAAAGCAATTTTATATTAACTTGACCAAATTACTAATATTTGTTTTTACTTATGTTTTTAAATTGTAGTTTTTGGGGATTAGTGTTTTATCTGGTTGTTAGCCGCCCTGAGTCCGTAAGGAGAAGGGCGGGATATAAATTAAATTAATAAATAAATAAATAATAAAATAAATATATATCAGGCTTGTGGAGCCAAAGTTGGATTATCCTTATGGCTGAACATAATTTGACTTTTTGAATTTTGGATTTAGATCCTCATGGCAACGGCATTCAGCAATGATGGAGCTGAAGTGATTCAGCGGACTCTGATTACTACAGAAGCAGGTGGTCGTCTTCCAGTTTTGGGGATAGAGGATTTTTATGAACTGGAGAGAGCAGCTGCTTTTGTATCTGACAATGGCTTCACCAAGGTGAGCTAGTTTGTGACCTGACATAAAGATTCCGGTTCTCCTCTGGAATTGGATATACTCTATTGCATCTTACGAGAAAGACAATACAATTACAATGCAATGCTGATAGAAATTGATGGGAGAGTAAATAAATGCACATTTATTTTGTTTGACATACGTATAGTAGAAATATTTTGAATAAACTTGGTATCTTGCCATAGATTGCTCTTCAGTTTCCTGATAAACTTTTGCCAGATTCAGCAGAGGTTGCTGCAAGGATGGAAACAGCAACTGGTGCCAAGATGTATGTCTTGGGAGACACATCATATGGCAGGTAAGGTCATAGGAAGATCCAGCTGTTGTAAAGACAGCATGAAGTCTCCAATGAGAATTTTATATGCATTTAATTAGGACTAGACTTCAGTAAACACAGGAAATTAAAATTAAGTATACAAGGGTAAGTTTGCATTGACATTTTTATTCCTTCCAATGCAATGGAATGTTATAATGAAAGGAAATGGAGTGAAAGGTTTTATGGGGTTATAAATCTCAGTCTTTTATTATTGACCATGTTTCCAGGGTTGATTCTAGTTGGAGTCTAGTATCTGGGTGGCCACTTTCAGTACAAAGAAAGTAATTTTCTGTATGCTGGGACTGGTTGTTGTTTAATGAAATGTGTCCTTGGATTTCTATGGCTAATCCTGTTGTTTTTCTTTAGCTGTTGTGTAGATGAAGTGGCAGCAGAACATGTGGGTGCCGAGGCTATAGTGCACTATGGCCCTGCCTGTTTGAGTCCTTGTCGCAAATTGCCAGTATTACACATATTTTGCCAGGAACAGCTAGATGCAATGCGATGTGTGGAAGTCTTCCAGGAGTTGTACCCTGACCTTCAAGCCTATGTGGTTGTACTGAGTGAATCTGCATATTTTCACGCCATTGGTAAGTTTAGGAAGATTGTTGTGTGGACACAGATACACTGCAAAGGTATGTTGGAGGGGGAACATAGGTAGACAAGAGATATTTCAGGCCAGGTTGGGAAGGTTCCCGTAGAAATAACATATTCATTTCTAGTCTTAAAATCTGACATTCTGCCAATCCTGACTTTGTGTCTAATGTGTGTTTCTTACAGCTAAGCTATTAGAATTAACTATTAAGTCAAAACCATGCAACATGCTTTACTGTTATTGCTGTTTATAGTTTTGTAATTTGAATCAAGCCAGGGACAGAATGAAGAAGACTTGAAAATTTGAAAATTCCTGCCAAGAGCTTTTACTAATTTCTGAAGAAAACAATATGAAAAATCAAATAATTTTAAATGAAATAGCACTATGAGTTCTCCAGTATTAGCTATATCTTTAAAGAATATCTTTGATCATTTTTGCTCATAATTCTCGTTCATCTTGATGTATCTCAGCTAACCCAGCTTTTAGCTTTGCTTGCAGTCTCTAGTCTGATTGAAGGAACTTTCTCTGTTGTTACCAGAGAATTGCCAGGTATTGGGGAAACTGCAGATACATTAGGTTAAATTGTATTTGCTCAAATATTACAGGTGGATGACTTTTTCTCTGTACTTCCTCTCTTAGATGACCTGGCCTGTAAGCTACAATCAATTTATCCCAATGTTGTTTTTGCTCAGTTGGATAGTAAAAAAAATCTCGATCCAAGCCAGCCAATTTCTGGAATGATACAGCAGTTTGGACGATGCTTTATAATAGACGAACATCATGGTCTTGAAAACTACAGTATGTTCTATATAGGTTCTGAAGGACCAGAACTTACAAACTTCATGCTGAGTTGGAACCAGTGTCCCTTTAGTTCTTTTGATCCTAGGACAGGACAAGGCCGGTGGGAAACACTGGATGTGAACCGGGCCCTGCGACGACGCCTTTACCTAGTGGAACGGGCACGAGATGCTCAAGTAGTGGGTATTGTGGTAGGTACTCTTGGAGTAGAAGATTACTTGTCTGTTCTGGAGCATCTTCGCCAAATCATTCACCGTGCTGGAAAACGTGCCTACACGCTGGCTGTGGGTAAACCTAATCCTGCAAAACTGGCAAACTTTCTAGAGGTGGATATCTTTGTACTGGTAGCTTGCCCACAGAATTCCTTGCTTAATTCCACTGATTATTATCGACCCCTGATCACGCCCTACGAGTTGGAAATAGCATGCAATCCAGCACGGACTTGGACAGGCCGCTATGTTACAGACTTTCGCCACCTTCTGCCAGGTAATACCAGATGCCCTGATTCAGAAAATGAGCATGAATAACAGTCATTGCTTAGTGTTCATTTTCAAGAGACCTTTGATTCCCTTAATTTCTGACTGATGAAAAAGTTGCTTAGTTGTGTACTTTCAAGCTTTCCTCTGGAAGCACAGGAGTGCTTTATTATAAATACAGGGAACTTTTGATACTTTGGGCATAAAGCGTTGAAGAGAGATTGTAATACCCTATAGCATGATGTTACAAAGTTAATAGAGCTGCTGTATTTTCCAAGTTGAATGTGGGGTCTGTGTGTGCATGGCATGGGGAAGTAGTATTTTTGGACACCATTAATCCTTTTTTAGGATTTACTCTTGATTTCTATGTATTTTCACCCTCAAAATCACTAGAAACCATGGTGCTGTTTTGTCACAAAAAAGATTAGGAATCTTACGCAAACCTGGGAGTCAAGAGTATTTGTTCTTCCTTTTAAAATATAGACGTTTTCATGATAAGGAAGTTTAAAAATATGAAATTATTAGAGAATTCCATCAAGATCCATCAAGATTCCATCTAGGGGTGACATGATAGCAGTCTTCCGATATCTCAGGGGTTGCCACAAAGAAGAGGGAGTCAAGCTATTCTCCAAAGCACTTGAAGCCAGGACAAAAAGCTACGGGTGGAAACTAATCAAGGAGAGAAGCAACCTAGAACTAAAGAGAAATTTCCTGACAGTTAGAACAATTAATCAGTGGAACAACCTGCTTCCAGAAGTTGTGAATGCTCCAACACTGGAAGTTTTTAAGAAGAGACTGGACAGCCATTTGTCTGAAATGGTATAAGGTTTCCTACCTGAGTAGGGGATTGGACTAGATGACCTCCAAGGTCCCTTCCAACATTTATTATTATTGTTGTTGTTTTGGTCCTGTCCTGCTATTGGTCAGCCACAGCCAGAGTAACCCACAAATTCTTTGCCATTCATATCCCCACACTCAGTTAGGAAAGACTCTAATCAGGGTCTGCATGCTTGATTCAGTCTTTGAATATATAATAGAGTATCATTTTGTAAGTAATGAAACTTAGTTAATACTGTACTTGTTTTCTCTTATCTCCAGGAGCTTGTGACCATGTCCTTTTCCCAGAAAAGACCAACAACGAACCCAGCATTTCACTGATCACTGGACAGCTGCGCTCTATTGATCCCTTCCGGATATCAGATATAGAGCCAAATTCTGGCACAGCTGTGATGTGCCGCAACCATTTACAGACTGTATCTCAGATCAGCCCAGCAGGTATGTGGCTTGGGGGTAATGCTCTTTCAGTTGCAAAAAACCACCTCACTTGGTACTTTTCTTTTGATTAATCAATTATTTAAAGATGTAGTTATTGTGGAATCTCAAAAACTGAGGCTGATAAAATAACTATTTATTCCTTCATTGCTACTACCTGAATCCATTCATAGTTGCAAGTAGGCAATTAATGGAGGTAGAGCTAGGATAAACGGCCTAACCAATGTCCTCCCACACAGTATTTCTGATTCATAATGTAAATATGATAATGCCCTATCAATATAATCAATTTCTCAAAGATAATGCCCTACCAATATACCAGTTTCTCATAACTTTTAGCTTGTGTGGCCTTTGGAATAAAGTTGGCAAAATATTTTTGTATCTTAGCCTCATTCTTGGAGTCCCGCAGCTGGCGGGGACTGGAGCAACAGCTGGGCCAAACAGAAGTAAAAAAAGCTATTGTGGGACGACGGGGAATTGCCATTGCCTATGAAGATGAGCCTTGTGGATGACCAACCCTGAATATAAAAGACATTGGCCAGATAACAGACTTCATTCTTTGCTGGATTTGGATGGGTTAATGGAACATGGATCTTTTTGAATTTGTTGACAGTCTTATTTGTACAGGGCATAAAGTGGGCTAAGTTAGCATTTTTTGCAATATGTTGATGGACAGTTCAACAGATTTTAAGTAGAGTGCCATGTTATTATTTTAATAGAGGAATATTTTTTTAAAAAAAAACAAGTGTTGATCTCTGCTGAAAAAAGTGTGTTGAAGTTTTTTATCCAATGATGAGACAAATGTTAATCCACATTAGTGGCCAACTTATAGATATCCATGTTGTTTAAACTAGTCCTCAGTTGCAATTTCTGTTGATTAGAAGCTTAGACTATGCTGAACAGTAGGGTGAGCATTACTGATCACAAGCTGAAGTCAGCAGTGATGCAATTGCTAAAAAAGAAAAAAAAAACACCTAATGTAATTCCCAGACTGAATTAATAAAAGCATAGTCTCCAAGTAACAAGTAGCCATAGTTCCATTTTATTCCAGAGCACTGTGTCCTTTTCTGGAGATCACACTTAAATATGTTGACAAAGAGAAATTAGCTAAGAGGGTCACAAGAATGAATAAAGGTACTGTATAAAAATATTCTATAAAGAAAGGTTGAACGAACTGCATTGCATGGGCCTCTTTAATGGATAACAGAGATGCTATGCTTATGTAAGATTCTAAGTATTTCTTCCAAATCATCTTTGAAGCATGCATAACCCTAATCTTGATCTTTGTAACCCCCAGGGGACCAAATAAAATTCTATACAGAAGAATAAATGTTGGGCAAATATTAAAGATCATTGAGTCTAGAAGAGCAGATTGACAATAGAATTATCTAGATGGATGGTGGACTACTTGTTATTGGAAATCTCCAATTTAAATCTTACAGACTTTAATTGGTCTGTTTGCAACAAAACTATTGCCAGGCCCCAGCTATATTTTCTCCACCCAACTGGAATGCTTCTGTTCAGGCTTCTAGGTGGCCACTTCCTCCTCTAGGATTTTCACCTCCTTCCATTTTCTTTTTCAACCAATGTTCCGTTTAATGATGCTCAGTCTTCATTGGATATTGAAATGGTTGCTTGTAGGAAGCTTTTATAAAAGGATTTGAAAATCATAAAATCATGCCAAGCTCTCTCTTATTTCTTAATAGTGCTGTTTTGGCCATAATTGTATTGGCACAGAAAGGTTTTCTATTAAAATGAGTAAAATTGTGTTTATGCATAAAAGTTCCTTCACAGGGAAACATAAAAATACACAAGCACCTAGTATGCACTTTTGTCATCCAGCACATGGATTTTTCTACATTTCTTTTCACAAATAATATTGTTTTTTTATTACATCCTTAATGTGAAGTCAAACCAATTAGCTTCCACAAGATGGCATGAAGTCAATTCAAGCTACATTTATGTACTCCCATCATGCAAGGTATCTCAAAATTTTTGAGTTAGTAGGCATATTTGAAATTTACAAATGTCTAAAAATGTCCACTGGAATCTGGAAAGTCACAAAACACCCACTTCCTAGGGAGCCAAACTGAAGTTGCTTCATCATCAGTATCTCAGCTTATTTTTGTCCTTTGGTTTTGACCAGGTAGGCATTCTTTCAAAGGGCAGGCAGATAATCCACAATGCCTCCCAGAGAAGTATCTTGCCTAGTGGAGGTATGTCCCTTTACCTCAAGTTGGTGAAGCATCTCATGGAGCTTTGTTGTTCTGACTTGATGAAGACTCCAGATTTGATCTCAACTGGCTTTACTAAGGCTGCTACTGTATTTGTGCTGTGCACTGAGCTTGTTATTACTAAATGAAGCTTCAAAGGATTATTTCCACTGAAATGTTGACAAAGCAAAACACTTTGCAAGTACTGCATAACCTCATAGCCACTGTGGATTCTGGAGTCTACATGAGGCCAAGAGGCACTATTGGAAATCTAGATTATACTTGAGACTGATGTTTTGTTTAACGGCATATTAGGATTTCATTTTCAAAATTGGGGGGAAAAACAGGCAGAGAAGGAAGTTTGGCAAGCAGAGGTGTCCACCAGCCCATTAGCACTAAATAAGACGTATCCTGAACAGAAGCATTACTTTGCCATCTCTGTTCCATAAGATGCTGTGTCTAACTATGCCACTTTCTGTATCTGAACACTGGAGGGCTATTGGAGCGGGAAGCAATATTGAAGAATGCTAATGCAAAATACACTTAGTGTAAGGGACTCTTAGAGATGTAATACAGCAATAGGAGTTTTTCAGCAGAAGAAACAGTGAAAATTATGGAATTACAAACTGATATAAAATATTCCAGGAAAATAAACTCCAGGGAAACAAGATAGAAATACTTTTGGTACATGGCAAAGAAATATAAGAAATTTGCCTACTTTTGCTGGAAGTAATTCACTACTACTAAACTTTAGCCAAATGGATCTGAAGTAAGAAGTGAGATTTTTGCTCACTTCTTACAGCTGGAGGAGGAACATTTCTAGTGTACAGATTAATTTCCTTCAGAAGAATCCTAGCAAACTTTTACCTTGTATAATTTCATGATAACATACCTAGTACCCAACCATAGCTATTTCTCCTAGACTGTTTTGTTGGAGTGATTGGAGATACTCTTATGTAGACAGGCCTTGGAAACAACCACATAAGCTATTTTTCATGATTATCCATTGTGAAAATGTGAGATACAAAATGGTGACAACAACACCTCTAAACCTCTCACATGGTCAAGAAGGTAAGGCAAAATACTCATCAAACAGAATAGCTTAAGGCTGGTTCTGTTCAAGGTCGATTTCAATGTGCGTGTGTATTCTGTGCTTCTCAATTTTTCAGGCACCTGTTCAATGTCTCATGTTCATCTAGATCATAAAATTTCTTTATGTTGTAGACTGAAAGGCTGACATAGCTAAGAAAGCAACAGTGCTGAACAACCAGGTAGGCTATAGTCTATAAACCCCACCACAAGGCACACGGTATAGCTGTTATGAAGCTAAGTTTGGATATGGAAATGGAATTCATCATTTGTTCACCAAGTCTTCTTCCTCAAAAATCTGTCTCTTCTCCATGTTCAGAAATGAATCATTCTTTGTAGTATATTACTTATCTATAGTCATGCCATGCCAGAGGGGGGAAAAAAGACCACAAGGATTCATTCTTCTTGCCCTTGAAAGCAGAAATTACTTGCACAGGGTTTGCACTTTGCTTTCAAGACTCAGAATAAAAACATCTGATTATGTTAGAACAATTCTTTCACTGAAGAACTGTAATAGAAGTTAGAACATCCCGTTTTCAAGATTTGATGTAGAAGTATGTATTAGGGAACAATCCTTTTTAAAGAAGTGGGGAGGGAATTAAATAGTACGTGAGTCTTCACTTCCAAAGCCGTGTTACCTCAAATGCAACCAAGAGAGGAAGTGGTTTTTTCCCTACCGCACATATTTTTGCTCTAGTGAAGCATTTTAAAGATGAATGGTTCCAACAGGCATAAAAATACTTCCACTGGTTAGAGGAAGAGCTTTGGATCGGATGAGTCCAAGATTATTCAGATACCAGCAAAACACTAATTTAGCCCCTATCAGTAGTAAAAAGAGTCTCCTAAAAATATGGTCTTTCCACAAGCATGATTTCTTCCAGGATGGGTTCTTCAATCTCTCCCCACTTTACATCATAGTTGATGTATCATGGTGTGCAGAATTAACTCTGTTACCATGCTTATTTTATGTAAGAACTTAGATGTTCAATTAATTTCCTATTACATTATCCCATAATAGTTTTTCTTTCCCAAAATGTGCTTTTTGTGCTTTTATGCAGAAACATCTGCCAAGTCTACATAAATTCCTTGTACTTTTCACACCGATATTTAGATATTGTTCTTTAGGTAATAGGTGTTTAAATGTTTTTTAAGTTTCATTAATACAGCAAAGATGATTTTTGTGTGAATTAACTTTAACCTACCCAGTGCTGGACATAGGAAAAGGATCAGCAGCAAACCTGAGTTAGGAGTCTGTATGAAATCTGGTTAAACTAGGCCCATAGAAGAGAAGTTGCATTAATATATTGCCACTGAAATGGACTCTAGGTTGTAAAGTGGTTTAGTTTAATTAATCCCCAATCTTTATGATGTCAAGAATTTCCTATACGAAAAAATTCTTGTCTTCATTCCAGCTTTACCAGGTCTGTTGCAACCCAGATCCATTTTACATATCAATTGACAGTAGCAGAGATAACGCAAAGGGTTTCCAAACCATTCATGAAGGTAGCTGCAACTCTTTCCCTACAACAGACCGAAACCCTCACATTCACTTATTCGTATCTGTGAAGAGGCTAATGTATTATAAGATGATGTCCTGCAGAATGTGCAGAGGTGGCAGCAGCAGCAGCAACATTTAAAGAGGTAATGTAGCATACTTGCCAGCACTCCGAGGAATGCCACAGCAAAAAAAAAGATGGTGTTGCCTCTTTGTGATACCTTGTTGGACTCTTAGTATTATTTATTGCACCAATCACGCTAGGGCAGATCATATTCTTGTAAACTGCCTCTGCTACAGCTGTATTCCATCCCTGCCCATATTGCCCCTAAAGTATGCCGCTTCCCCAGGAGACCAACCACAGCAGCTTAGAAGTAGCCTTAATGTAAATTCAAGGCAGGAGGACCTTCACTTCAATCAGACACAAGCTTCCTCATGCAAGTAAAAGGTAGACTCTTTAGAAATAGACAATATCACAGACACTTCTACAGGAGCGTGCCAAGGGGGAAAGTGGCAATTGGTACACTAGTCCTGCGGTTGGCACGGGACCGTCCAGCTCTGCTCCAACCTCTGCTCGATGTCCTTGAGCCTGTTAGCTCTGAATATGCAGAAGGGATTTGGAAACAGCTTGTTCTTGAGAGGAGCAACCAGGGTAGGTTAATTATAAAGTTACCATTCTATCAGCTAATTTGGTAGCAGCTTCAGGCGATGGCATAAAACCGGATCTGTTCATGCTGCAGTCTTTTGCCACACAGGTCTCCTCAGTAGTCTGCTGTGTATTCAGTACCATGCAGTCCTCGGCAAAGTAATGTGAATTCCTTTACCATCTCCTTCACGCGTCGTTTGTTCACACGTTCTCTGCTAACACAAAGGAGGGATGATGAAATATCAGCACGTAACACTAAAAGATGATAGATTGTAAAGTTTCAGGACTTGCCAATAAAGAATCAACAGACGGAGCAGTCCATTTAGATATGCCCCAAACAATTATTCTTGTTGCCATACTCACTGGAACTTTTTTTAGGTACAAATGTGGATTAAAAAGTACAGAACAGAAGTATACATGTTAGTCTAGTCCACAGATTTGTCATGTGTGCTGGCTTCTATTCTTTTAATCCCAGACCTAAGCGGGCATAGAGCAGGGAGATCTTGAAACAGGTTCTATGTGCAAGATCCAATCTGGGTCGGTCACCGGGACCAGGGGTTTAGTCTTCTGAGCTTTTGGACTCGTACTGGAGCCCATCCTCGGGGAACTTTTTTCTACCGGAATGTGCACATTCCAGTAAGGAGAAGTTTCCTGTAGATGAGCTCCAGCACAAGTCCAAAAGCTCAGAAGACTAAACCTTTGGTCCCGGTGACCGACCAAGATTGGATCTTGCAGCATTATCCTGGGACATGTATATTTGCTTTCATTCACAAGTTCTATGTGCATTTAGAAAATGCATATAATATTTGTAGCCACAGATCCTGATAAAGCAGAATCTATGATGTCTGAAGGATATTCATATTCAAGCAAAGGTCTACATAATGTCTTTCAGAGTAGAATCAAGGAGACATTAAGAAGGGCCAACATGTGGAACCCCAATCTCCTATAGCCTTTCAGCATATACTTCAGGAGGGATTATTACACCCCCTGTCTACAAGGAGCAATGACAATTAGACTGAAGAATTGAAGCCTTCTGCTCTTGGGCACCAAATATTATCAGCAAGCTCTATTAAAATGCAAGCCACCATTCTAGTGATGTCATCTGGCTCCAGAACAGGCATATTTGCAGGCATATAGTGTGAAGCATAAGCAGGAACAGTTAAGCTGGACCACTTTTGAGGGGTTTGTCTGATCTTAGCTAACCAGTAGCTTTTCACTTTGGAAAAGTGGTG